TACTAAAAAAACATTCTAAGAGAAATTTTATGGAGCATATGATACATAATAAATCATTAAAAGACAATTCTCTAACTAATACATAAAAATTATACTTATATATATATAAATATATATATAAGAAAATCATAAGAACATTATTTTAAACAACTTACTAAAAATACAGCTACAAAAAAAGACTGATTGCCTCTGTTAATTTTACCCACATAACAAATTCATTAAAGTTCTCCATAATTGATCTAAATTATTCACAAGACGTTCACAGAGAAGGACTAGAATATTCTCGATCGAAATATAGATGGATTGAATAATTACATTACAAAGTTTAAATTAGGGCTTTATATAATATTCTATTTCGTATTACATTTACAGTGTCCTTTTATTTCAAAATAGAGGTAGAGGACCAGATACCTGAATATAAAAAATCTAAAAACTAATCTAAAATGAAATAATTTTACCTTATATTGCATTTTACCTTATAGAATCGTTATATTACCCTTGAAAATATTTCTCTATTTGTGTGGATAAATTTATATGCATCTAGACAATTATTATAAATATCGAGCAATATTCGTCTTAGGTATAGAAATTATGGCTCGTACGATAACACTAATGTAGAACACCAAAGCATAAAAGAACAGTGCGCGTCTTCCAATAGTTGAAAGGAGGTAAAACCAGTTCAGAATGCAATATGCAAGTTACTCACAACGTCCCAATTGGACTCGATGATGCCATCGGGGTCCATGCCAGGAGGTCCATCGTACGTGGGCTGTTCGCTTTCACTAGGACCATTTTTTGAATCACCCGGCCATTGATCGTCATTTCTGAAATGCGCAGATAAGATATTAGAGCGAGAACACACAGATAAGATTAACATTAAATGTTAAATCATGAGCTGTATCGTATTTTTATAAGATAATTCGCACAATTTTTATACCGCAAATAAATTGTAAAATACACGTAATATCCACGTGATGCGCGACCTTTAAATTTCACTTTATTGCAACATAATTGTTTCTTCATTATTTTAGGCTTCTTTAGCGTAAAATATAAAAGGAACATAAAACCCTGTATTACATTTCCCTACGTCCGTAATAAATTATCGAATCTCGTGCAGTAACATTTATTAATTTTAATAAAAAATATCGACGCTCGGCGCCCACGCGGGATCGATAATATTGGTCATCGAGCGATCGAGCGATGACAAAACCACTTTAAAATCCACGTGACCTTGAGAGCCGAACTTTTAAATCGAACCCGTGGAGTACTGTCTCGTCTAACGAAATCGCTCGATGACCATTTTTACGTTTCGCACGGCGACGAGCCCAGGTCGGCGCGAGGAAGCCCCTCGAGCCCGCGTGGAGGCGGGCTCCCACGAGGCCGCGATAATCGTTCTTGATTCTTGACAGTGACTCACGCGCGGAAGCACGAGAGCCCGAGACGTGTTGCTTCGCCGAGGCCGAGGGGAACGTGCGAACGCGATGACTGTACATCCGGCAATGCTGCGCGAGGCGAGGAGAGCCTCGGCCTCGGGTCGCGCGGGTCAACGCGATTGATTTTTTTTTTTTCCTCCGTTCTTTCCTACCCGGCACCGGGAATCGCGCGAGGGACCGATATTTTTCATTACGTAATTCCGAGATCGGGGGGGAAAAACCATGCTCGTCGTCGCCCGTCCCGAGAGAGCTCTCGCACGCGCGCCGCACGGGCACGGGAGAGAAAGAGGTGCGCTTCACCCACGCTAACGGCGCGTCGGGGCGCGTGCACGCGCCGTCGGAGGCCACGCCGTTGCTCCCTTTCGCTCCGATCCGCGCCGATCCCCCGCCGCGGGCACCGCGGTCCGCGACGAGAAGCCGACGAGGAGGTTAAGCTCGCGGACGGCGTGGGCTCGCGGGCGCGCCGTTGTTGACCGCGGCGCGAGGGGCACAATGTGACAAAAACGAGTGCACGCCATGTTGTCAGTCTCGTGTCCCCGCCGTGCATCCATCGGTCGCGGCACACTGTTCCCCTGCGGGCGTATTTTAACCCGCGTACGCGGCTATTTCGCGGACGCGCGCGAGCCACGACGGCGCCCGGGGCCACGGCGGCCGCGGCGCGACGCCAGAACGCGAGCGCGGCACCCCGTTACGCTGGAAAAACGCTCAACTTACCTTCTCTCTGCAGTATGCGACATGTTCAACTCGCGAGAGTTCGGCGGAAAGGAAGAGCTCGTGTAGCGTCACGAGGAGTATTCTCGAGACTGCCACGCTATGGCGCTGCCCGCGCTGGCGCCCCCCTAGTCCCCCTACACCGGAAAGCGCGCCGGTCCGACAAATTTTTCGCCGGGCACGAGAGCGACGAGAGCCTCGTGCGACGATCGGTACCGGCACGCCGATTGGCCGGCGCGCACCGTTGCGAATCGTAACAAACAAATCGGAATTTTCCTCGCAGATGTAACGTTTCTTTATGTTATTCCATTTGCCGACGGTCACCGCGCATGACGGAAGTGACGCAGGCTGCTCCGACGCCTTATAGCGCCTCGCGGCCGCCGTGGTGGGGTCTTATCGCGGCAAATATGAACTGCTTTACGAAATTACATCATTCTGATGCGTTAACATATAAGATCACATTGGTCATAATTATACAGTCGTTAATTATCAAGTCATTAAAAAATATGATTTATTGTCTTCTAATTAAATACACAATACGTATACATGTAAATTTCTAGCAATATAAACAATAACGCTTATTTTCTCTCATCATACTTAAAAACTAGATTATACATATATTTTATACAGTCTGAAGTAGTTTTTATAACTTTTACTTAGCTGCCGTATAACTTGGGTTTCGAATACACACTCGAGTATTATATGTTCCAGAACTATCAAACATCCATTTAATTATTTAAAATCATGTGTAATTTTTTTAACTAACTTTAACTGAAAGAAAACGATTCTTTTTTTCAAAAATATTAAAGAAAATTAACGAAATAGTATAAATTAAAATTGTACTATTAAAAAGTATTAAAACAAAAGCAGCAGCTTGAAATTAATTAAAAAATATAATTTTATTACTGATTTTCTTTTCTAATAAATCTTTATTTTTAAATGTCACCTATTTGGAAACTATAATTGACATTTTCATTAAGAAAACCAAATTGATTCCACGGATGAATCAATGAATCTGTAAAAAAAAAGGATATTGATAGTCTTGGAACATCAGACTATATGTAAATTATATAGAAATTCTATTTGCACATGCATTTATGTAATTGCACGATAAACATTGTAATATATCATAGGCAAAACAAAATTAAGAAAAAAAGTAATAAAATTATATTTTTTAAATCGGTACATCTTTCATTTTAAGTAAATTATTCGTTGCACCTCGAAATCGAAAGCATAATTTTCCTCGTCTGTGTTTTTATATTGAATTGATTTTGATCAATTCATAGTTTCTCACATATGTAAGTTCATATTAAAATTATTTACTTTGTGATTTGTGAAACAATTTTACATAGTTACTTGTACGTATTTCTACAGGTACTTCTAGTCGAGCTCATTCATATAAAAGCACAACCAAGAATTAAGAGCAGTATTGCAATTGGGAAAATCATGTATGCGCCCATTCGTGGCTGGCAGATAGAAATTAGCATGTCAGCGTCGTCCATCTCGTTATGCTCTATACCGTCCTTAGTTGGAATTTCGACGATTACCCTATCCGCCGACAGCGGGCTTATGCGAAATGAGCATTCGGTTTGATTTACACATGATTTAGTCACGTTCTCATATTGAAAAGTTGGCTTATATATATCGAAAATTGCATAAATATCATTGGACACAATATCGTTATCGCTATAAAAAATGTAATAATAATAACCATTTTGTTCCACATGGTGATTTGCCTGTAGGTGTTTACTGTTAAGTAAATAGGAGACATTAGTACATTGGTCTGAAGGTTGAAATTCATGAGCTAACAGTATTGCTCCATTGTAGCAATTCAACAAATCATTTTCAAAACTAGAAACAGATGACGTTCCCTCAGAATTAGACGTATAATTTTTATCGGCATTTCCACCATGCTTGATACCTTGATCTAATAAAGATGGTGGATTTACGAGATCTTTGCTTCTTTTAAATCTCTTGGTATCTCTTCCGTCGCTTTCCTGTTTCTTTCCTCCATTAATTATAAATGAATGCAATGTTTGCTCTAATTTTTGTAGACGCATTTCTTTATCATAATCATAGACATCTTTTTCTCTTCGCCTTGATCTTTCATATTTATTCTTCCTCTTCTTATGTCTTTGCCGTTTAATATGTCTTCCTTTTCTAGAGTTATTCACATTTTTTCGTTGACCATCTATATATTCATGAATATAAGATGTTGCAGTACGATACAACGACTCTAAACTTTTCATCGATTTTTCATCCGTAGTATGCGCCCGTGTGCTGTCGTTTGAATTTGTCTCAAAAATTTCTTTCAAAGGATTTTCAGAGCTTACATTTATAGCTGGTTTATCTGTCTCATCGATAATGTGCATAGATTTGATAGATTCGAATGTGGTTGTTTCTCTAGAGTCAATTTCTTGTGCATTTGATTCATATATTATCTTAACTTGCCTGTTCGCACCTGGTAAGAAGATTTCTTGTGTTTGCTTATTAATATTATGTTCCAGCAGGCCACAAGTGCGTAGGTTCTTTTCTCCTTTTACCACTAATATAGAAGCTCCCTCAAATCTGAAAAAAAAATTTTTATATATGTAATACGCTCATAAATAAATAAACATATATATAATAAATATAAATAGATTTGATCTCTAATTACAAGAAAAATCTGTTTCCTCAAATTCTTTTTACCTTGAACACACAGATAGTGCTACAGTTGCATTTTTCAATAAATAAAATCCCCAATACTCTAATGTGTCATCAGGTAAACTCATGCTCTTTTTAAGCCTTATATGTTTCCGTTTCGATGTAATCTCTGGTCGGTGAGACATTTGGAAAGCATTAAAAGTGCCATTCATTTTTAAAGTATGTTCCTATTAAAAGACAACGATATTTTTAATTATCTTATAATCCGTTCATGAAACTTGATACTGACAACAATATGCCAGATTCAAAAAGAGGATCATATCGTCTTTAACATTACAGTTATACTAATCTTTTTACATGTAATAAATTCGTTACGTCATCAATTTCATCTGAAATTTATTACGTATTAAATGCATATAATAATGATACGTGCACAATTCTAGAAATAATGATATTGAATATTTAATCTTCTCTTCTTACCGAACAAAATATTGTTGAAATCCCATCGTTGATTTCTATAATATCAGATTCTGTTACGGCATATGCAACATCAGCATAAAAAATATGCCGTAGATACAAAGGAATTATTATGAGTACGAATGGCAGGATAGCTATCAATATGCAGAAAATGATCAATCTTCTTATACCGTCCATTTTTGCTATACCTATTAAATAAAAATGGCAATGTTAGTATTAATGTTAGTTGGAATATTAATAAATAAGTTGAAATTCCTCATATAATACATCATGTCCACAGATGTCTATACACTACTTTTTCCATTGCAAAAGTTCTAAGTTAACAATCTAGTAGTGAATCTTTATAAAGAGACTCTAGTTAACTCTAGTATAGACATCTGTGATCATGTCGTTTTGAAGTTGATGCTCTATCGATTATATATTCAGCTAACTTCCAAAATAGCCACAAATTCTTGAATACTAATAATACTGAATATACTAGATAAAAAAAAGAAAAAAATTATATCTAGAATATAAAAGTTTATATCTAGAACTACTTAAATTTTATATATATATATATACACACGTATATAAATACAAAAATTTTATATGATTGGCATCAGAATGGTTACGTCATCCCGAGTATAATAATAATAATAAGTAAAACGATTATAAAAAAATCACCTTCCCACAATCCTCCAAATTAGATTATAAATAAATACACTTGTTCGTTTTAGAGGTTACGTCTTCTAATTTATTTAACAACAAAATATCAGCTTCGCACATACAAACATTAACAATTGTAGTATTTATAATCTCAGCATATACATTGCTCAAGTTGCATGTATGCTTACAACTATAGTTAAAAATGGGTATATGCCTTTTTTATTATCCACTTCTCTCTCCAGAAGAAATAATTATCTGTATCCACTGTTTCATTATTTATAGAGTTTCGACGTTCCAGCTTTGCGATACTTATTTTAACCAAATACTAATTGAATTATTTAACAAAAGAGGTTAGGCGTTAATGAAAAGTGCACAGATGGAAACTGAGTTCTATTGACAGTCTGATAAGGAAAAGCGTGATTAGGACTCGACCAATGTCGTAGCTGATTCGTCTGTTATATTGATACACACGAATGACATTCTTTAAATATCGTAGATAATTGAAATACATTTAAAAGCTAATATCAAATCGATTCTTTTAGTGGCATATTCTTTTTTAGTTAACTCAGAATTAATGTCCTTTAATGAATCGAGGAAAGATAATTGTTTCCGATTAATATCATAGATATTTCCTTTTGTAATTACATTGTATAAATTAAAATTCTATCATGATAAAATTTATCTCTTCTTTTCCTACCTTTGTTTTCTTAATTTCGTTAAATTTAAGACGCAGTATCATCCTTGATATCTACGTTTCTTTACGTAAACTCGATTTTTACGCACAAATCTTCGTTAATACAACAATTTAACTTTATCACTTCTTCTAATGTAAAAAACCAATAATATTTGTAACTTTTTAATGAACCGTAGCTTGAATCCGTGGCTTCTCTCCAACACGTTGCTTCTCTCGGAAATTTTGCTAGTGTTTCTTAATCCTTCTTTTACAAATACTAATCTAAGACTCCTTTACAGAAAATCCCTTTCTTTTCTCTCCTTTCTCCTACTCTTTCACAAATTTTCCAATCAAAAACTTTTGAAACTGTCTGACAACCAATAGTGTTTCAATCATCTGATGACAAAACTTCCGGAATTCATAACCGTTACGAGCGCCAAAAAATTCATGAGAGAGAGAGAGAGAGAGAGAGAGAGAAAGAGAGAGTTTCTTCCCAAACCTCAACCTAAATTACTTCTAGAATATTCTTATAGATGAAAAGATATGAAATACTCAGAAGTACTTGAATCAGCACACTCAAATGACAAAACCATGTTGATTAATGCAAGATAAAACTACATAAAATAAAAATAAAACAAATAGATATTTTTTAGTTTTTTTTTTTAATCTATCTAAATTATATTTTTAATCTTAAGATATCCATATCGTAATATGTAAAACATGAAATAAAAATCAAATAAACGGAAAATATTACTATTGTACATATATATATTCTGACTTACTTTTATGCAATAAAAATCATCATTGTAATGATCATTGTAACAATTCTAGCATATATCTCTGTACTTAAAAAGTAATGCTACCTATTGATTTATAATAATCGTCTTTAGTAGCAGTATGAAGCTCAGATATATCAATCTGATTTAATATTGTTTCTCCAAACAATGTATCCTTATATACCTAAAATATGAAATAAATATCTTTATTATGAATTTTATCGTGAATGATAGATATATGAATCTAGTTTATAGAAATAAGTTCTCTTACTTTTAATATTTCACTTGCGTCATATCTTTCTTTAAATCTTGCTGGGTAATCATTTTTAAATGATGTATTCATTAAAGTAGCATGTAATTTTATTTTCTCATACTCCTTCTCCATTAAACCTAAATTTAAAAATTATATAATTATATAAACGAGATATCAGAAGAACTAATATTAATATAAAAATATGTATTTTTCAGAGATGCTTATATATTATTAGATATTTAATTCTATAATACTATTTACCTATGTCGATAAAATATTGAGCAACTTTATCAACAAGTTCTTGCAATTTTTCGTTGTGTGTAACTTGTGCAAACAAAACTTTAACATCAGTAGGATCATCATTCATACATGCAACTCCTTGTAATTGTACATTTATTGGTCCAGTTTCTTCAAGAATAGGCCTGTAATAGAATACATAATTACTTGAGAATCTTTTAAAACAGTTACAAATGTATTATATTTATAATTCTAAATCAGGCCTGGGGTTAACTTTGAGCTCCAGAGCCATGACACTTCTCCCTTTCCATCCAGTGGAGAGTGAGGGAAAAGGAGAAGTGTCGTGACTTCGAAGCTCAAAGTTGAGACCTGTTTTAAATCATAAATGATTTTATTGATTGCAAAACTAAATTATATGATAAATTAATATCACGTAATTTAGTTTTACAATTAATTGTATATCATGTATTATTATCAAGCAATATTATCTTACTCTATAATGTATTCCTTACACTCCTTGAGAGCATCAATAGCATGTTGTTTGTCGTTATCATCAAATAGTTTGAGCATTCCAATAGTAAGATGTAACTTCGCTGGTGTTTGAAAAAGTGATTCATCAATATTGTATGTAGATTTTGTATGTAGATTGTATGTATCATAGTTTTTCAATACACCATTTTTGAAAGAAATGTATTTATCAATTATCTCTTTTTTATTCAATGGAATTGACAAAAAATGTGTATAATGTATCTTTTTCTTGGAAGCTTCTATTAGCAAATCAATTCTATGTCTTGCAGATATTATAGCCTTACGGTCTCGTCCAGTAATAACTACAAATAAACATATATAATTAAAAATTAATTAAATTAGTATTAGTCTTATATTAATAACAATATGGTATCAAATTATTTTTACCAATGTTTCCGTCTTTTCCTTTTTTTGGTATATCAATGGTTGTTTTTGTCTCATTTTCCAATTTCCTGCGTGTTACACCTTTCGTACCAATTATATGTGAGTAAAAAATTCTGAAACATTATAATAAAACGTCAAATTATAAACTATTGTAACATATTGTTCAATCTATTATTATGTTACACAATTCTTACATTATTAAATTGTAATTACGACAAAATAATATTGAAAAAGATTCTCACTTAGGTACGTAAAAGGTATGCTTAAAGCATGTATCATGAGGTATTATTTGTATCTCAGTTTCAGATTCCTCATTTGAACAAACTGATTCCTTGTCCTCCATATATGGGGCTGATGTATGAATGTTTTTCCAAGCTGTACTTTCGTAAAATCTATAGCACCGTCCATTAACCCAAATTAATTCTGGTTCTAACACATCCATTATATAAAATGCAATATGTTTCATACAAACACTCCTAAAATTTACGTTAAATTGATGCATTTAAAAGATCTTTGCGTAAATTTTTGAAATTAACTAAAATAATAATATTTTCAACTTTTACAACCAATAAATAAAATACAAAAATACAATTTTACAAAGTGCTTCTTGATATAATAAAACCTATATTATTTATACAAAATATATAATGTTCAACAATTTAAACATTACATTACTCCACATTACTACAAAAACTCCACAATTGTAAAACTCTTGTTATATATAACTTGATACATTACTTTTAACTGACACAATATAATCATGTTGCAGTTCAATCACCGTATTAAATAAAAATGTAATTAAACTATATTTTAATCTTGCGATTAGTTGCAAACTTATTTGGAGTAATGTATGCCTCCTATAGGTTAGAAGTTGCAACGTAATACTCTGCTGTGTGATAATATGCAGCTCGTCGTACGATAAATAAATAATTGTCACTCACTGTTACTCAGGAACATTTTGTTCAACTTAACACCCACCTTCTCAATGCATTTAACATGAGATATCTTATTAACACAAGTATGCACAATAAATTGCGGCCTTTTCGTCGTATTTTGGTCATCGACCAATCATGGGGTACAATTAGATATAATCCAGGAGAATGCAAAATTAGCGTTGCAGGCCTATCCAAACGGATTTACGTAATTGTGCGAAGAAATCGGCCAATCACGTCAGTCTAAAATAAGTCGTGACTACTCGTGACACAATTTTTTTAATGTTAGTACATACCACTGCAATTTTTCATATATTTAACACGTGATTTTTCTTTGAAAAATCAAATGGCTGTTTTTCAGAAATTTGACTAAAAGTGCCCCCTTCTCTCGTAAACATTTAAAATTACCTTTAAAAATAATTAGAAAAAATCATTATTTTGTAGAACAAATTAATAACTTTTATAGCTGTAAATTATGCAGACATTTTCTAATTTAGATAATACATTGCGTAATACAATACAATAATGTAATAAACAATGTAATAAATAAAATAAGAATAGATTTTTATTGCTTTGATAACTGGATGCAACTTCGTATGTCATAATTTAAAGTTATAGTTCTTTACTTAAAGGGCTATACTAAAGAGTTCATCAGAAACGGTGAACTAAATTAATCAAACACAATGGAATTATGTTAACATTATATAAACGGATAGACTTAATTAAAAAGATTGTGTGGTAATCCTAGAAAAATCAATTATTACCAATAAACGTAGAGTTCTTTTTATTTAATATTTTACATTGCTTCCGTTTCGAAAATCACGCATCACATTTTTGTAACGTGTAAAGACGAAATGTCGGTAATACAAAATTAAATTTATAAATGCAAGATTTTTCATCCTTTGTCCAGTTTTTATAAATATCAGACAATCACAAGTCAGCAAGCACAACGGCAACCCAGTAAAGCAGTTAGAAATTCATTTCTAATCTATTATTTACAGAAGTTATTGTGTGCATAACGTATACAAATAAATATTTTTTCAGGTATTTAACTTTAAGACACTGATATCGAAAGGTAGGTTTAAATCTTACACAACTATCAGAGCATGTATTTTACACTGTGTGTGTGTATATTGGCATATAAGTTACAATATTTATAAAAGATACAACATGCGTAGTTATCACGTATAAATGAACATGTGTCGAATTTACACGTAAAAATGGGAAATTAAAAATTTGCTAAAATTTATTACATGCTAAATCATGAAAAAACGCTTATCACGCATGTACAAACTTGCCTATTTTTTACAATAATACAATTACAAATGTGTATCTACATACGCCTAAATATATTATCTAAATATATTTCACGATAGCCGAAGTGTTCGCGCAATAAATAACAATTTTCCATTTATAAATTACAGCTAATCCTCGTCTGTACCTTTCTGATACACTGTCCCGAACTTGCTCATGTACTTACGTACAAAATCTCTTGCTTTGTGTTTAACATTTTCATTACATTGTAACTCGTCCACGCTTTTACAATGTTTTAATTCCTTCGCAAGTACAAAATGTGTTAACTGCAACAGAATAAACAATCATAAAAAGCACTGTCATATGCGGAATCCATTATGCTCAAGTTCAACATACCTTTCTAGCTAGATGCTTGAAATCTTCAGTATTAGTTATTCTACCTTGTTTGCAGTCATTTTTCCTATATGGATTTAAGAAGTGAACCATAACATTAGCCATATTTATTCTAAATGTATCCTTGATTTTCCTTTCGGACATAGGAGACATCTCGGCTGATGTTGATTGCAGCTTGCTCAATCCATGTCGCGAATGAGACTTCGATTTATTACTTCGTCTATGTTTCCTTATCTTCTCAACATGATCTTTCGGTTTCGTTCTTTCCTTTTGTCGTCGTAGTTTCTCTTTTATTTCTTTATACGCTTTATGATCAATACGATCCTCTTCCCTACGTGGCTGTAATATAAATAACAATGAATCGATTGAAGTCGCGCAAGGCATAAAAGCTTTAAAAAGTCATCAGTATTAACAAATTTAACATTGTGATACATGGAGCGTTTTCCTTTTTAAAGAGATTTAACGTTTTATATAAATTTTTAAGAGTGCATTTCATATTAATACAAGATAAATATAAAAAGTAAATTATACTTACACTAATAATTCTTTCTTGGACCAATCCATCCCTTCTTTTTTTAGATTCAGGAAACGGCAGTGAACTTCCAGTCAAATTATGACCTAACTTTTTAGATACATTTGGCCTAGATGTGCTCAGAGGACTATCTGTTAGAACGCTACTTGCCTCCATATCATCGTTTCTTTGATCCTCGTTATCATCATCAATATCTTCATCGTCCTCATTTGACGAACTGGATTCTTCACTAGATTCCGAGGTAGATGACGAGTCTGGCTGTACTCCGATATGATCGGGTGGTGGAGGTAACCATTGCGATATTCTTTCCTTCACATGGTAATAGTACGTTCTACCTCGGCTATCCGTCGCGCTCTTCCATTTCGGTGGCAAGTCTATTGCCGGAATTTCAGGATGTGGTCGATTCGTGACACCTTCCGTGGACGCAAGATTAGAGAATTGTTGATCTACGGGATTTTCGATGTGGTTATAAAAAGGCGCTTGAATTGACGTAGAAGGGATGCCACCAAAAACAGACACTAAACTATTTGGAAGAGGTAGTTGCCCTTCGGTATACGGTTGCGGATGTGATATCAAAGAGTAGGGAGATGTTTGACTGAACACAGGTGCTTGACTTAATGAGTAAGCTACTGGTGGAATACCAGTCGTAATTCCAGACGACATATCGGTTGCCATTGTTGATGATAGTACATGAGGACTCTGACCTATTATACCAGTAGATTGAGCACTTCCTACGTATACAGGAGTGCATTGCTGCGTGGCTTCTCCTCCATCTATAAAAAGATATTACATTTTTTATATTAGATATGTAAAATATACAAATGTGTTTGATTGTAAAAAGTTATTAACATTTCTGCACACAGATTAATTAACAAATATTACCTTGAGTGGAATAATGTTGCCATTGACCTACAGTTGGATTATAAAAAACAGGATAACCAGTTTGAGGATCAACCATGGCAGTGGTATGGGGATCTATACCCAATGCCAAACATCTATTTTCATGTTCTTGCCATGTTTCTTGTTGTTGACGACGTTGCCTTTCCTCCTCTTCTTTTGCAACTTTCAGTGCAAATAATTGCCTACGTTCGTACTTTGTCATTCGTGGTATAGGAACTAAACTTCGTTCTTCTATTCTTTTATCTTTCGTTCTACTATGATCAGCTTCTGGAGATTCTCGTCCTCGTCTCCTATCACCACGTTTGTCAATTTCATTTCGACTATATCTATCAGATCTAGGTCTAGAAATTTGTGAAATTATTAGGTTTGAAGTTAGTTCGAATGTTTAACTTAATGTTTATTTGCAATTATATTATACTAAGCATCACAAAGATCTGTATAACTACAATGATACGTTAAGCATACAAGTATGTACATACCTATCATATGACGTGCCTCTCTTTTCTTCTTTCTCCAATTCTTCTCTATATCCTCGATCTACAACAAAAATCAAAAGTAATATTATATAAATGTTAATAACTTTCGACTTTGTATGCCATTAATATATTCTCGAAAATAAGCTCGATAATAACCTGCTTCTCTTTCATGCTCCTTCATTTGCTCAATTCTTTCTTTTTTCGGTATTCTAAAAACTTCTTTTAGATTGGACCATTCAGCAAGAAGACCAGAAGCTAAATCAGGAATAAGATTCTGATCCGTATTCTCTGATTTAACTTCACCAACCGCTAAACAACTTTCGATATTGTTATTACGTTTATCTGGAATGTCATTCAGACGTTCATCAGGACTTTTCTTCTCGTTGCTATCAGAATTACTATTCAATTCTTCGCAGCTCATCTTTGATTTAATCTGATCATCTTCTGGGGAATCAGCATTCGGAGAAAGATATAATCTTTTCGCCCATCTTTCAACTACACCATATATTTTGCTATCCATTAACATTGTCTTGTTTGGTATTGGCAGTGTATTTAGAGTTTTCAACACTTCTAAGCGAAATTGTTGAGCTTCTTCTGTTTCGTTTGTGGCAATATCCATAACGTAACTCCAAATCAAACGTAAACCGTGGTAATCCAAAAATAACCTTCGACACGGTTGCTCGCCACTTTGAATAAGACGTAACAAACGAGTTCTGTGTTCTAATTCTCTACTACGTACCATTAATCTACTTAACGTTAATGTGTGCGCTCGGTTTTTCAAACCACCTGAACACAACTTATCTATTTCTTCCTCCAACTAAAATGAAATGTAAAAGAATAAAGTAATAAAAAAGTAATTGCTCAACAAACCATATTAACTCGTATAATATTACTAATTGTGCAATTGTATTTACATCTTCATCCTCCATATAATCAGCCGGTTTCTTTTCCTCCTTTTCCTTCTTCTTCGGATCTCTTTCGCGCTTTTCTTTCTTTTCAATCTTTTCCTTTTCTTCTTCAGGTGTTTCACCTATCCAACCTCGACAGTTCAGTGCCTCACAATAACATTTCTGAGCTTCTTTGCTATTATTTAAACATATAATAAATTGCACGAATGAAAATAGAGATATAGATATCTACATATACAATCTACACAAATAAATAGCTACTTAATAAATATAAAAATAAAAAAACGTACCCGTAACGTTGAAAATGATAATCAAATGTAATTTCTTCGCCAGCGGCAATAAATTTTTTGTTAAAAAAACCTATTCGTAGTTCTCCATTTACTGTCCACTAAAAAGTATTTAATTATCATTAAAATGTATATTGTTATTCTGGCATTTTTCAAAAATTACTTTTATTAGTTGCGGGATAAAGTATAAATTTACCTTTTGCGTTTCTGCATTTGGGTCACAGCTATGATTAATAAATCGAGATATATTTCCTTTCATGGTAGCATCTATAATCTGATCGGATTTCAGTGCCATAAAATAGTAATGTCTATTTTTATCTTTGCAATATTCTTTTGCACGACGTTTAAAATCCTTTGGATCTACAACTTCGCCTACATATTCCATTATAAACTCGCCCCTGCAATTGTAAGAGTAATATAAAAGTAAGAAATCTTTTTTGTTTCTTATGTTTTATTCAAGTCATAATTCTATTTCTTGCTCGCTGAAAAAAAATACTTACGCCATTATGTCGACGACAGCACGTAATCCAAAACCTTTCTTCTCTGTTCGAAAAACTTCGCATTTGGCATAATTACAATTTTGGAATCTTTTATTTGTACATCTATCATTTACCACGCATCTAGGTCCACTAATAAATATGAAAAAAATATTATTTCTATTCGTATAATTTATTTCTATTGTGCTATATTAATTTATATATCCGAAGATCTCTGAAGAAAAACATTATCAAACTTTATCTTATTAAAAATAATTACCATTCTATCATGAGAAGTCTATTAAGGCAATCTTCCCCACAACCAAGTTCTCCTCTCTCAATTTCTTCTTCAGTTAAGAAACAATCACACACCATCCTTTTGGTTTCCTTATTTGTATATCTAGTAACAAATGTTATAAATATTTAATGTTTTTAGATATATAAAATAGCTGTACACACTTTGTTAGAAAGAATATTCATATAACAAAAAACATTATTTAATCCTTAATTCTATATACCTTTCAGTAAGATACAGATTTTCATGCAAGTGCTCAAATTGACTCAGTCTTTCCTCCATTTCTCTATCTTCTGTTTCGAGAACCATCGGCAATGAAATCTTTGCTCCTATAGTTTTTGGAATTTGTGCTATTGTTGAAACAGTAGAAACATTACTGGATATCACTGGTACATCTTTAATTTGCTCCGATTCTGTACAAACTTTTACATTTGTACCAATAATATTATGTTTCGATTCTGATGACGTAGATTCTCCTATATTTACTGGTGCATAACGTGCTGATTCGGGTGGAGGTGCAAAAGATGAACCAAACATTGACACAGGAGCAATGATAGAGCCAAACCCAGCGTTTGATCCACCCATTTCAAGCTCACTCGATCTTCGCCAACGGGATTTTACTTTAACTGGTTTTGAAGAGTCCGAATCATATCCTGTAGTATTATAACTGGTACTCAAAGGTGTCAAAGTATCAATTGATGTTGGAATCTTGTTAGAATTATTTTCCTTATCACACTGAGTCTCAAAGTTATCTATTTTTACTTCTTGAGTAATTGAAGGATTCGTATTATTAACTACTTTTTCTTTTTCTTGTTGAAGAATAGCTTTTGAGACGTCCATATTAGGTTTTGTAACTAAGCCACGTCCGCGAGATCTGAAAGATTCAAAATAATTTTTTTCATTTTTAAATCCGTAATACAGAGAATATTATTCATCCATATGTAAAGTAAATCATTATATTTGAAATGCTTTTAAATATATTTTTATTTATTAAAGATTATTTGTAAAAGTTAATAAAAATTAATTTTAATCATACTAAAATAAGTCAAGTATCTGCTATAAATTTTTTATACTTCAAGATTAAATTATTTTATTTCTTACCTTTGTTTCATTAATCCAATAGATCGAATTCTACTGCTTCGTCTTACACCCGAACTGTTTGAACTATTTTCGGAAGCCGTATCAGTACTTCCACTACGACCTCTGAATTCAGTTTTTTTGTCAATATCGCTTATATTGTTAATTGCATTTTTTATATCAAATTCCCGTCCTTTGTAACTGGTAAGTGATGATAATGTGTCATTACTATTTTCGCTACTGCTGCATAATTTGAAATCTTCATTATCAACTTTGTTGTTATCTCCTTCGCTGTCTTGATATTCATCAGTAGTTGTTGAATGCTCTGGATTCTTTTGCTGACCCGCACTTCTCTTGTCTTGTGTAACTTTTGATTTTAGTGAAACTCGATCTGCACACTGAAGTTTATCAATGCAAGTGTTGGATACCAAGATATTTTGTTCTTGATTTGTAACAATATTGTTGGGTTCCATAGTTTTCGAGAATATTTCCTTAATTTCAGAGCTAACAGAATTATTTGGGCGATGTAATTGTTCCATTTTATCTAATATCGACGAACTACTTTCGTCATCGATATTTAATGGGACCGGAGACAGTTTTTCCATGTTTAAAGGAGTTTGTACTGGAGAGTCGGTGCTTTCCACACTAGAGAGATCATTCACTAACTTTTGTATTTCTTGTGAAGAGTCGCTTATCTGCATATCTGCTAGTTTATTATCTATTTTATTAAATGAATCTTCCTTTGAATCTACATGCATATTTTTTCCTTGTAAATCTTTGCTTTCCCGCTTACAATTATCTTCCTCAGTAGAAGAACCAGACTCGTCTTTGATAGAACACAAACGAACTTTTTCGGATATCGATTCTGAAATTTCCTTTCTAATTTTATCATAAATTGTCTTGTTCTTTTGTTTTTTACTACTGCCATCTTCTAATCCAAGTTTCTTCTTGTCGATATAGGGTTTATCTGCATTAAAATCTGTAGTATTACCATTCCCAGTACTGCACATTACCGATTCGTCTACATGCATGGCTGATATGGAATTTTCTGATTTGTTCGTATGTACATTATTAACATCTTTTCTAATAGTATGATATTCATTGTTTGAAATTTTTCCTGACTTGGACACCATTGCCATTGATTCAGTATCATCCTCATGCTGTATCACAGTAAATTCTACAAAATTTTTGTCTTCTACATTAGGTTCGTTTACAACTAATACTTCTTCAATTATAACGTCATCCTGTGCCATAGAATATCTATTGTCCCCAACATTTTCCTCCATTTGTATTTCTTCACAGATCACCATTTCCTCTACGACATCTCCCGACCAGGGTTCCGTCTTCGTTGATGCAGATACAGCTAAAAGCTCACCGCTTGGACTTGGATTACCAACAACGACCTGTTGTACATCCTCTGGGCTAAGTTTTTCTGAATTTTTAATCATATTATCTATACCATCTTGACTGTCACTTTCACCAGCATCCCGCTTATATCGAGTAGCATTGTAAACAGCATTCTCATTATTTACAATTACGCTGTTACTGGAAGTACCTTTGTGTTTATTATGCTTCTTCTGAGAATTTTGATTCTTCTTTGAAACTTGGCTATGACCTTCGCTAGCAGACTTAGAGTCTTCTGAACTGTTTGAGCAAGATGTTTGTGTAATGTATCCATTTATCTTTTTTTCTTCCAATTGCTTCTTAGCTATCTGTCTGCTAGATTTGCGTACAGGTACATATTTATGAGATGACTTCTCAGATGCTTTTTCTTCGGTTTTACGTCTCCGTGCCATTTTCATTCCATATATACTCTCTCAGTCTGGAACAATTAAGATTAGCATATAATTTATTGCAAAAAGCTGATCTTTATTCAAGTGAAATACAACATATTTTCTATATAACACAATATTGATATTCCTTGATATTCTTAGATATTCCTAGAGTATATAAATTTTGTCAACATTTAGTATTACAACAAATTTTGAATGACTATTATTAAATAGCAGTAAAAAACTTGAATCTAAAAAAAGTATAAAAGTATATAGATTATTAAGATATTGCTTTATCATATTCATATCAGTTAAAGAATAAGGAAAAGAATTATTTCATTCTTTAATTTCAATTTTTAAAGTAAAATGTCAGAAAAAGTTACTAATTTACTAATTATCTGAACAAAATATTGTAATTATATAAAAATATGCTTTAAATATCACAGTAAAAGAGACACAATTATAAACCAAGATCGAAGGAATAAATGAACGTAGATCCATCAAGGTCAATTAAAGCAATTTAGCTTAGCATTTAAAGCTGAAGATATATAAATGAAATGTCATCTACATACTTAAAATATATTGCTCTCTCTCTCTTTATCTTCTACTTTCTCCCTTAAAGCAGCTGTGAATTGAAGATTCACAATAAAATATATATGTGCGAATGATAAAAATTCCCGAGAACTCGCTGACCATTCAAGTTGATTGTACAACATCTCAAAGCAAGCATCCCATCGTTCCTAGTTCGCTCTTGCTGAGGGAAAACCAGTCGCTACGTCCGTGCGTCTTTGAACGAATAATGACGGCAGCTTTACTCACTGTATGCTCCTAAAATTGCGTCCGGCAATTCCAGGGAGAAACTCATCGTTCGGGGATACTCAACAATCGTTCCCAAACAAACGCGGTGCCGTAGCTCTCCAATTTACCGACATAATCGGGAGTGCGGGACCGTGGGACGTTGGCTAGAAACGTGAAATACCGCTGGGACGGTTGCGTGTGCGGGGAGACGGCTCGGCCGGACCGTGAGATCGCTTTTCGAATTTGACGTCTCGTCGAAGCACGCCGCACATCGACAGGCTCCTTCCTCGCCGAGATCCTCGGGATCTCACTCTCTACCTCTCTCTCTCTCTCTCTCCTCCTCTATCTCGTTCGCTACCTACGAACCGTGTCGCTCGCCTCGGCGTTCGTCACGTTTTGGCACTGAACGAATCTCGACTCCGTGATCCTGGTGGGGCCTCCCCGATCCCGATGCCACAGCGCGCTCGGGCCCTCGGCGATCCTCCGTTTCGGCGGGCGTTAAATGCGCCGAGAGAAGCCCATCGCGTTCGGAAGGCGTTAAAGGACTCGTGAAGGAAAGTATGAGCCGTCGACATACAACATTTTCAGCATGCATGTACTCTTGTCGCCTATCCGAGTACCGCCTCTCCTCGCTCCGTGTAAACTCACTGTCGCAAACGAGACCAGCGTCAGCAACGACCTGCGGTGGCAGTGCCACGAACTTGCGCATGAGGGAAAAAAAAACCGGGACCGCCTCGGACCTCGAACAGGGAAAGCTGGAAAAGTTATTCATGTAAATGCAAAATAAGACAGCGAGTCTCAATTGGCTGCGTTATAATTATGATTAACAATTTCGAACGATATGCATTTTGTCAATTATATCTTCTATGCCCGCTGACGGTCATCAACATGGCGTATTTTAGTCTTCCACTTTATTCTCTATGAAAACTATAAAGGCGGGAAGAAACGCGAGTTCGAGCATTTATGAATTATTACACGAGAAATATATATATTTTTTAGGATATTTTTGTAAAATATTGTTAGACTGCATATTTATTGTAATGTTGTTTAAAAGAACAGTTATAAATTCTCTCGAATAACATATATGAGTAATTTTTTGAAAATTATCAGATTCTATTAATTCACTCTGTATATCTTTCTCGTCGTGTAAAAATAATTAAAATTAAATAAATATAGATACATAATATTGTGCTAATTGGTTTCTCTCATTCTTTCACACTCAAATCATCGAAGCAAAACCGAGAGATATATAAATACTATTATTTATTTAGAAAAATATAAAGTATAAAACAAGAGAAAGTGTAAATGTTTGTGTGCATATTTCATAGATTCATCTTATATATCTTCAGTTTCTTAAAAGTTATCTTATATAACTTCCCTATTTTACACATCATATAGTTTTTATAAATCACGTTTAGAATTGCGCTGTCAGTCTTTTAATTTCATATACTTATTCAATTTATTGTAATCTCATGCTTGAAGCTATTAAAAGATTTCATCAATCTCGTCACGATAGTCATAAATCGCGATAGTCATAATTCCACGGCATTCAATCGTTTTAACTATTTCAACTATTTATAATCGTAACAGAACCAATAATTGTTTCATTCCTATAAATTATTTCTTGAATAAGATATAAAATAAAAAAAAGTTTGCATACAAACTTTTTATAAAGTATAACATATTAAGAAATTGTATATTCGCTGTTGTATGCTCGCATTTTATTCCGTCACATTTAGCGCAACCCAGATGTATCTATGGCCATTTAATATTTTATAGATTTTTGCGATATTTGGAACTATGGTTCTCCCTCTCTTTTTATCTCGAGTTGCTTGCAACAAAAGCACGAGCGCATTATAACAATTATATATATGTATCGTTCAAGATAAAAATTATTTATATGTCAACGTTCGAAAATGGTCCCACATATTGAGAATACCCTATTTTACAACTAATTCCCCATAAAAAAAAATCAAATATTATAATATATATCTCTAAATGAGTAAATAATAAAATTATACATATAAAACACTTTCTGTCAAGGACTTTGTAATTGCTTATTATCAGATTTCGTTTTTGTAAGTGACACATTAGGCACAGTTAAACTATCACTTGGATCTTGAACGCTTTCAGATGTATTTGTAGTACTGGATCTTTCACTGTTGGAATTTGAATTTTGAAATTTAGGCGTGGAAGTCCTTCCTTTTAAGAGCACAGCTTGGTCGGTACTCTTGCTAGCTTCTTTGATCGATATCGATGATACGTCACTGATATCCGGAAAACCATTCGAATCATGCTGTTTCTTAGTAGGAGAAATCATTCTTCTGGCTGTATTTATTGGTGTAACATCCGAGTTTGAAGAGGAACTAAGGGCACTTGCTTCTCGAGTTTTCTTTAGCGTCGTAACCGCCCAACCTAAACCTAATTTCTTCAAAGCTGTTTCCATTTCTTCCGGAGATGAATTCTGCTTTAACATATCTGATGATGGAGTACTCGTTATTTCTGAAATACCAGATAATCCGGAAAAACTGTACGCACTAGTAGATGTCGTTTTATATTTACTTTCTTTATGCTCTTTATTAAGATCGATACTTATGGAAGAACCAAGTTTATCTTTCGTTTGAGAAACAGGTTCTTCAGTGGTTGTGTCACATTGTAACTGTTTATTACATTTTTCGAGCATGTACTCCCGTTCAGCCTCAACTCTCGTTTCCGTAACACAATCAGACGTACTTTTTAACTTTTCAGGAGAACTGCCGATAGTTGTAGTTTCTTGTGATTTCTGTGCGGGAGACAGCTTTTCAGTAGAATGTTTCATCCCGGATGACGAATCCGCTGATTTCTTTGAGGAACTTTGATTCTGTTGAACAGGTAAAGGAGCCACATGAACAGATGGCTTAGATTTTGCCGGGCTCTTGCTACTTTTATTAACTGCATCTGTTGTATCAAATTCCACGATCGTCGATAATTCATGTCCTGATGATTCTAATTCTGGTCTGTTTGCATTAAAGTCAGAATAATTCATGAAATATAAAGAAAAACAAAAAATATATACATATAATTGAAATATACATACTAAACAGAATTATTAGATTAATTTTACCTGTACGGTCCATTTAACAATGTAACGGGAGGTTTAGGCCTTATTGATGTCGCATATCCATTGCGCAATATTTTGGGAATGCCAGTTAATATAGGAATGAAACCATTTTCTTTTGCTGTCTAAAAATGCATATAACATGTAAAATAGTATTCATACATAGAAATTGTTTTGTCAAATGGTATTAATTATTTTATCGTGCTTTTAACATGTCTAATCAAATGTTATAAATAAACTACTCATATATTTAATATATGTACAAATATTTCTCTCTCCTTTTCTCATTTGTATTTTTATGTGAATAAAAAATGTTACATGTACAAATAAAGATATGAAGATATATTACATACCTCTGAAGTAGAAGCAAGTTCGTTTGTAATGCTATTATCTTTTTCACGTTCTAATGAAGCATTCTTTTTTAGATTGAAATCCTTAAAAGAAGATACTCTATGCTGTGTCTCATCATTTTCTTTCAAAGCTGCAAAGGCGGTACTTGGTTTGTTCAAATTTTTACTTTGTTCCAAAATTTCGTTTGACAATTTCTCTATTATTTCTTCTTCGTGAAGAGAAAGCGTACGCGGGGGCCAAGAGTTACGCTCCGTTGTTTTTGTTGCCGACGTTGCTTGAGGTTTTTGCTGCATAAATCGGCTAAGCTGTATATTAACTTTTTCATTGCTAATAATTTTTGGCTTAGCTCTGCCTTCTACTACTTTGGATTCCTGTACATGTGCTTTAACAGTATCTATTAATTTACTTCGGGGAGTAGAAGTGATCGCCTGGATTTCCGCATCGCATAAAGTTTCATCCTTTAAACCTGTTTCGCTTCCTCGCATAATTCTTTGTGATTCAAGGAGAGTTCTTGCAAGTTGGGCATGAATTGCTTCTATACTGTCAATCAATCTACGTACTGCTTGGGCATCGTCACGGGATGCTTTGGGCGTAGAAATTTGCATTAAGCTATTGTCATCGCTTGGACTAATTAGCGAAAAATCCATATCTGCAATAAATATGTAATGCCATTTAAAATTTCGGACAAAAACAATGTTCTATTAACATATTCAATCTAACACATAATTCAATATGTTATTTTGTCAAGTATTAGTGATACATTATATAGATTTAATTGGAATCACAACAGTATAAAAATATCTCGTGGGTGATTAAAATTAAACTGCATATGTTAAATAAATGACGTTGTAATAATACTTTACCTTTTTGTTCATTTCGTACTTTTTCAATGAGGTCAGTTAAAGACGCTATTCTTTCCGCACATAAATTTTGTAGGTCTTCATACTTTTCCAATATTTCAGGACAATTTTTTAAAGCATAATCGTGAATATCGTCAAGTTTTATATGTAGCAATTTACATTGGGGATTTTTGCATATACAGACTTTGGATGATGGCTGCTCTGAAATAGATACACGTTCTGATGCTGCAGATTTCTGACAAACGTCTGATGGATCTGTAATGGTAGACTGGTCCTTTCGTGCCGATATCACAGTACTGCCATTCTGAGAATCATTCAAACTAAATCTAAGCATCCTGGTAATCCTATCGCGGTGCGGAATGTTCGATGGCATCATCATTGTGCGCGGCGAAGGAGTTTCCGGTGTGGAAACAGGGCTGATGTCTTGTAATCTTCTCCATTCGGGTCCCGGAGAATCTAACATTTCTAAGATCGGCGTGACGTTACTCAGAGCGTCAAACACCGATCTAGGCTTTACTGGCGGTGGGCTTGCAAAGGCGGTGGACGTTGACGTATCTGAAGTATCTTTTATCCGAATCCACCTTTTCGTTTGAGTCCGAACCTGATACGGCTTACCCGTAGATCGATCTTCATCGTTCATACCTGAAACTGTCTGTGAACTTTCCGCGCTAGCATCTATCGACACTCTGGTTTCCTGCGATGGATCTGTCTCATCTTGAGCAGACTCGCTCATGTGTATATCAACTCTTCTGGTAGCTGTGTCTGCCGTATCCAAACATTTCGTCTTCTTCTGAGGAGTCAGGCGGGAGCCTGACTGAAACCGCGAGAACCTCTTCATGGGTGACGTCGCTTTAGAACTGACGGACGTTGAGCGAATCTTTTGATAAACTCGAGGCGACGGTCGCTTCGATACTCTCACGCTGTTCTTTCTCTTCTTAGGTGTTACAATTACTTCTTTCTTATCAATCTCAATGACCATCCCACTAATCTCAGAGCTTGTCGAATTATTGCTGCTGTCGTCCGTCTCCGGTGTAATAATAGTAATTTTTGGTTCAATCGGATGGGGTGCTCGTGCAGTTGCGTCTCGGCTGGGATGTGGCGCGTCTTTTTCAGGTAATTCTACTTGTACGCTCTTATTCTCCGCTGGACCCGTTTGTTCTAGTGCTGTCTGACAAGCAATCTCAATTTTTTTTGCAGGTGATTTATCAGGTTTCTTCATCTTACGATCTTTTCTGACGCATTCGTCACTACTAGACATATTTATGACTTTAACTTCGGGTGACAAGGGCTTGGCAGTACTAGATTCTGGTGCTTTTATTGGCGTTTTATCTTCAAAGAGTGACCTCATGCTGACATTAAATATATTATCTGGCAAACTGGCGCCAAATTCTTGTAACAGCAATCTTTTTTGCCTTTCAACTTTCTTCAGCATATCCAGTATTTGTTCTTCGCGCGACATTTTACTATCTTTATCTTGTTCTGTGTGACAAACACCTGTGTGACAAACATCTGTGTGACAAACGTCTACCTGCTCTTCAATGAGATAAGGATCTTGCCATGTGGAATGTGGTACGTCATCATGCATGCCGTCTTTTTTCCGCGTTGGTAAAGTAATGACTCTTTCTGTGAGATGAGTGCGCCGGGTCGATGCGCCGTCTGTACAGAGAACCTTTTTAGCTGCACGGTTCAACCTCTTTTGATGTTCTTCCTGGCATTTACTTCTCTGATGTAGTCGCATGTGTGTATCTTCCTCCGCGGATTGAATCTGACTAGCTTTTAGCTTGCGTTCTTCCTGTGCAAGATGATCTAGATTTTGTAGCAGCGCCTGATAATCTCTCCGTACTTTCTCTCGCAAAATCGCATCCTCGCCACGACGTTGAGCATTTAATTTGTGGGTTTTGGATATATGCGTTTCTACATCGTCTGCATTTTTCATTGCCCGCGCTACTTCCATCGCGCTTGGCTCATTTCTGATGTCAATTCTTTCAACCATACCAAGAGGCCTGTCGTAGACGTATCTCTGCTGCATATTGCGATTACATTGCGATCGTACTTTGTTCTCTGTTGAAGCTGGAGTCCTCGGAGTCTTATTGCAAGTAATTTGTTCTACGACGTCAGAAAAATATGACGAGTCGTCGCTGGTTGAACTAGAACTACTACTGCTGACGCTGCTTGACGTGTTTTGTGTATAATCTTCTGGATTGTATCTTGCTATCTTGTCAGGTTTCGTTGGTATAGCGCTCATCGTTGGCACCGTTCTTCGTGGTACTTGATCATCACTTGTATCATCAATAATATGCTCGATATCATCAGACACATAATTGTCCGCTTTCTTCCTTGAGGATAACTCGTGAGATTGTACAGCAGATTTCTTTTGTAATCCCGAAGGACCCGGTTTTGGTGATAATGTTTCTTGATGTTCCTTTAGATTAGGTTTCTTTACCCTTCTAGGTGATTTTTTGGGAAGAATTTTTTTGCTTTTCCTATTTGGAGTCAGTACTTCCTGCATAATTTCCTCATTTGCACTTTGAGAAGGATTTCTTTCCATCCTGTCATTTTCCTCAGATAACGGCAGCTTTGGAAGTTTGGCCACCATCGCAGCCCTTATATTTTCTATTTCTCGCACTCTACGTAATCTTTCCTGATGAGCTGCTTCCGCATCATCGTCCATCTGTTTTGCTTCCTTCACACGCTCTAGAGCGTCCTTTCCTCTTTTTTGCGCCACAGCTCTATCTTTCCTTTCCTCTACCTCTATTATCGCGTCTGCATCCGGTTGCAAGGCAGCAGAGGCATGAGCTTGACCGATGTCCTCCAAATCTTCCTGATACTTGCGTTGTATGTCCATGATCTTTCTATCGTGCATCTCCCTAAGTTCTGACTTCCCGTCTCTCTCCAATTTGCTAAGCTCTTTTTTTGCTATATTCTTGGCACGTTCTAAAAGTCGATTCGATATCTCCTTTGACTGCTGCCGAACCTGCAACGCAATATGTCACTTTACACTTTTGACTGATGTTTACATTGTCAAGGGGCGCACGATAAAACATAGAAAATTGACAGTGTGTACAGTTCAATTATGTAGATTCCAATTAAAAGGGATCGGGGACTCGTATTTTACTCACTTCTTCGAATCTTGGCTTCGAATCGGGCCGGGTTTGAAAATTTTCGACGAATAAACATACCTGCTCCAAGCGTAACCTTCGTCGGCGATCACGTTCGTTCTTCTTGATCTGATCCAGATCGGACAGCACCATTCTCCCACGGCGTACGTTTACAGGATTCCCGGTCATGGTAACGTGTATTGACATATTTCATCGAGGAAGATCGCGTTAAACTTGCACGCGAACTCCTGCCGAACGCAGCCGTGCAATACAGTTTAACTCAAATTTAAAATGACAGGAACGGCCATGTCGGATCCGAGGAATGGCTACGATCATAAGACGCGTACTCGCACTACTCGCTGGAGTCCTATAAATAAAGAGAAGCGCGACCGCGCGACCTACGCGACCGGTGTAATGGTGCTGATTGGCTCCGCCATTTTCTGTACATTTTCATTAACGAATTTTAATTCACGAAATTTAACTCGTCTTTAAATATGATCTATGCGTCTGAAATTATGAGATACAACAAATGTTATATACCTGAATGCTCAATTAACAAGGTCGTATTCTTCAGGAATTTTCAGTTTCTAATCATCCTTTTAATTAAAAAAAAAGGCAAAGAAAAAAATATAAAAATTAAAAATAAATGGAGTCCATCACTTACACAGAAACTATTTTCTATATATGTGAGAATTAAATGCATGTTTTAAAACAGTGATCTTCTCGTAGATATCTCGTTTGGAATATTTTAATTAAGCTTTACAATTCTATTAAATAAATATATGATTTGAATATAGAATTTGAAAGAACATTATGTTTATAAAATTAAGGCGTGGAGTTTCATTATATATGAGGTGTGAATATTAAATAGTAAACAATTATTGTTAAAATTTTTTATGCAATATATATTTATACAATATATATTATTTCTTTCCGGCTATAATGATACCATCATATTTCTGCTGGAACCATTTCATGGCATCTTCTTTGGTAAGACGGTGTTGAAAACCAACCTTACCGGTCTTTCTTCTTCTATGCGCTACATTAAATCCTACACAAAAATAAAATACATATTTAATATAGATAAGTTTGACATAATATTTAAGTGTAATCTCAATCAAATAACACGTTCAGTGAAATAAACGTGAATTAAAAATATAAAACATTTTTTCTAGCACATTTAAATATATAGATACTATTACAAGACAAAAATATCTATTATACATATTTCTTGATTTTCTATATATAATTAAAATGTAGTTATTATTAACCTGGACGTCCAAGTACAACGTAGAAGTCCAAACCGTAGATACCGATACTGGGATCATACTTGATTCCCAAGTCGATATGCTCTTGAATGCCGAAACCGAAGTTTCCAGTACAGGAGAAGTTTTCCTTCCTCAATTCATATTCGCGTACCTATAACCAAAAATGACATGTTAGGAATACAGTGTTATAATACATATAGTGTAAATAATAAATGTAGAGTCTTTACTTCACCTTCAAGCCACGTTCCAGAATCTCTTCAGCTTTGGCGCCGCGTACAGTACAATGGACAGCTATCTTTTCATTACGACGGATACCGAACGAACGTACCGTATACCGAGCTTTGGAAAATACTGGTTGCTGGCCGGTCAGTTGTTCCAAGACCTATACAAAAAATTATTTTAAACTTTAAAGGTTCAATTGTTAGAAACATCTTCATTAAAACAAAAACAACATCCTTGGAAAACCTACCTTGGCGGCACGCGTCAATCGATCACCAGATTCGCCCACGCAAATATTCAGGCATAACTTCCGGATTTTGACTTCACGCATTATATTTTTGGATGCATCTTTCGGCTCCTTCTTCGTCTTTTTATCGGGCTTCCTACCGGTCTTCTTACCGGTCTTTTTCTCGACCTTTTCTTCGGGCGCTTTTTCTGCATCCTAATTAATTAAAGTACAATTATTAACATCCACATCGAGTACATTATTAACCTCTACACTTGACAGTGTACCTAGCAACGTATGAATGAAACATTTTTAATAAATCAGTCATGTTGATATTAATTAATCCAAAGTTAAGAATAAATGAATCAAGAAGCTTTATTGCCGAACAAATCTAATAGCAGCAATAGCAATATGTTAAAACCGATCGAACCAAGCGTGAAATCTCGTCCACGTGACGCAGAGACAACCTCAAAAATAGGCAACTTTAGGACAAATTTAATATTCTCCATAATTTTTAATATCAGTTATTTCTATGTCATAAGGATATTTAACAGAATTAAATTGTAAAAAAGATACACGTAGATTAAACGAAAAATCTTTGAAGCGAGAAACCAACACTCACCGCCATGTTGAAGAGAAGAGGCAATTTTCACGACCTCCGCGATAGTCGACAGTCCGCGATTCAGTTCGATTCTCACAATTTTGGATCGATCATTCCTGTTCGGGCTGTTCGATAGGCGCAGTGATATTCTTTATTACGATTGGTCTCTGCACTTAGCTCAAACGAGGATCTAAAGGCAAGAACCAATCATATTAAAGAATCGCTAAGCATTTTTTTTGTCTTCGCCAATTAACAGGCATAAGCAATTAAAGATTTAAAAAATTTCTAGGTAATAAATTTACTTATTGGATAAGAATTTACGAGAGCGTCGACGTTGACACGTTTAACCACAACCATTCACAAATCACAACGAAGGATAAAATAGAAGAAAAAAATAAATAGAGGAAATTGTTGATTTTTTCTTAATTTTTGCAACAATACAGTTTACTTTATATTACAATTAAAAGTATAATAAATTTCACAATTGGAAAAATTAATTAGAAAATATGAATGAGTTAAACAAAGCGGCATAAAGTTTGAACATAAATATCCGTTATAAATTACAAAATATATATTAATATTCTAAAATTTTGCTTTTTCTTAATTAAATAAAAATAAATTGAAATGAAGCAAAAGTTATAAAAGAAACTTATTCTTATAAGAATTGATTTGCGAGACGAATTTAACGCTGCAATAACTCGTAAAAAAGACTGCACTGTTAATATTTAAATATATTTATTGTTCATTTTGGAGGTATGACATCTCTACTTGCCATAGATCTAAAATGATTACATAGCACCTTCGATAAAAAGGTTGTTTGCTGTAGACATGCTCATCGTAAATGACGTAAATGTAGCTGACCGCTCGAATAAATCATGGCGAATCGTCGCATTTCTGATTGACGGAAAGCGTACATGAAATTTAAGTACAGGTGCCAGCATGAAAACATGATCTGAAATAAAACCTCGGATACTAAACGAGAAAATTTTATGCATATTAAGGCCTCGATCTTAATATTTATAGTTTAGCAGACATTAGTGTACACAACCATATACTAAATACACGACCCCTTTACTCTTTAGTTACGTAACAATTACATTTCTCTTGTCTCTCGAATGCTCTTGTTCGTCGAGGCAATGCGGCTTTTCAAACATATATATAATTACGAAAATTAATCTACTTATTGCTTTGTGGCGCAATCGTGTTTCTTCTTGTTGGTTACCATGGAAACTGAATATAAACTCACTTATCTATCTGAAATGTATAGATAGTAAAAGATCCCTCGAACAAATTACGCAGGAAACTTTTTCTTTGCACATTATATTTTATACTTTTTATACCTTATTCTGCATAATGCGTATTTTTCATCGATTCCATCAGTTTTCATAGGAAACCCGCGCGAATCTATGTACTCATTAATCGTAATCAAGGAAATTAATCTATTTGTTGATTTGTGAACCTGTCGTGTTTTTTTCGCTTACTGTGAAAACTGAATATAAAACTGATTTACTTGGATAATCTCTTTAACTGTAAATTCTCTTGAATAAATTACGCAGGAAACTTTTTACTTTTACATTCTATTTTATACTTTATAATTACCTAATTTTGCGTAATGCTTATTCTTTATCGATTTCATCAGTTCTCATAGGAAACCAGCGCGAATCTACGGAAAGCTCTCCTTATTCATTCCGTTAAATAATTGTACATTCACTCATTTGATTATAAATTATACTGATACGCTTGATCTTTATAATAATTTGCCGTAACGAAAATATAATACGTTATGCTCCTAAGAGAGAAAGATCAACATTTTACCTAAATGCATTTTCAGCACATTCTAACTGTCCTTTATATGGAATATTTAATTTTCATCATATTGAATATGCAATTCATTTTTCGGGATAAGTTCAAGGAAATTTCTTCAAAATCGTTTCTCATACATTTGAAATTATGTCGCGGGAATAAATAATCATCGGAACAATAAATGCTGATTTTTATCGAGACTTCTCGCTCCATGTTTGATTCTGTATCCCCCCCCCCCCCCCCCCCCCCGATACAAAGCGTAATTGCACGTAAAACATATATGACATTTCCACGATCGTTTCGTCAGACGTTCTATTTACAGTAACGCGCGCAGCTATATTCCGCTGCGATTCCCGATTAGCTCTCTAGGCCTCTCGAACGATCGAAGGAACGATGCAGGGAGATGTCGGCGGTAATGCAAACGAGGTAGGATAACGACACAGCGTTATTTTCCAATTTAATTTATTAATTTGTACGTCTATGTACAAGGCTGCGTCGAGCTAAACACTCTTCTCTATGATACATTACATGTCCTCTTACGTAAAACTCAGGCCCACTTGCGGGAAACAAGGTTGCAATAAATTACCAAGTTATGCGAAAGAAGTCGCTAAGAAAAATAAAAGAATGATTGCGAGGCGCTTTACCGCCCCGCTGCATTCAGCTATATACAGTACAATAAAACAACGCTAAATGCGCAATCTTCCGCGTGCAAAGACTGACAATAGCATTGACGATGCTGCTACGACTACTCGTCGTCACCAAGCGTTCGCTAAGGAAAATAAATTAAGAAAATAAGCACCAGAGATTTGACTTTGTGCTAAATTATTATAAAATAATGCATTATAGTACGATGCACCATTCTCAGCATCCTCCCTGCCCTTTGTATCCTAATTGTTTATATTGCATTGGTAATAACAGCTTATTTTCCTGTCGCTACGAATTTCGAATACAATATTAATTTCTTTAACTACCCTGCCATTATAGCTTTCTTAATTTGTTTTTTTGTTCTCCATATCGTTGAGATTTCAATCTTTAACTATGTAAGAATATGGACTGCACTAAATAATTTGCGTATCTTATAGCGAGATATTGAGCGAAATGTTCCCAAGTGTAAAGATTGTTCGGTCTATTAAACCTGCGCAAAATTGGGATATTTATTAACTATAGATATTAATAAAATAAAATGAATAAATAAAATAAGATAGACTAAAAGCCGCAGTTTGACTAGTTTTTACTAATATTGTGTATTACACAATATTTTTCTATAAAAACGATATTTAGTTGTATTGTCGATTTCTTTTGATTTGTAAAAAATAAATTATTAAATAAAAAATTTATTAAATAGTATGCATCGATTTTTATACATAATTCTAATAATGTAATTAATATAGTTGATATATAACGAATCTTTTGAATTATATCGCCAATTATACACAATGTATCTTGATTTTTAAATTTTTGCGTTATCAAATGTAATATAATGCGTAAATATTATAAAACTAGCAGTCCACGGATACATAGTCGAAGATCATACAATTATTTTTGTTAAAATAATCTTTCATCTTCGTTTGAGCTAGTAACTTATGGATTTCCCTTCATTTATCACAAACTATCAAAAAACCCTTCTGTACCTATCCGGTTTTTAATTCATTATAGATTTTAAAATAAAATTTAAAATGTATAATGATTTTGTGTATTTTTACTGTACACAGTATATTTCGCCCTTCTGTATTCGTCTCAGTTTTAATTCATTCTTTAGAATAAAACTTAAAATATGTTTGTATAGAATAGCAATCTGATTTGTATATCTTATTAACGTTAACACCACTTTCTCATGATTATTTACAACGATTCACCACGTTAGATTCGAAAATTACTGTATCAAATCAGCGAATACGTCAAAAGTGTAGACAGTCGATAATACTGACGACAGGAGCATATCGTGTACTCAAGTAATTACATTACACGAACTAAAATTTCCAGGTAGCAAAACAAATAAGCTCTTTCTCTGCGAACATGTTAAAAAATAATTCGCTGGAATTGATCGATTCGTCCCCTATCGCATTACAGATTCTACAAAATATTCACAATAAACCACCTTTACGACCAAAAAGAAGCGAACTTATTGCTCCCAATGCCGACTGTTTGGATTCTTTAGTTACAGGCGTCGGAGCTGGCGGCTTAACTCGTCCCAAATCGGGTCTCGTCGCTTTAGCACCCGATCGTCGTTGTCGATCTGGCGACTGACCCGTTGCTCTCGAGCTAAATGCATTGGAACCGGACACGCTTGGTTTGGGCTCCTTGTCATCCCGTTTACCCAGCAATGACGACGGTTTGCTCGACGGAAATTCGTCACAAGTGGAGGATGTTGAAGACGAGGGAGATATTAACTTCTCTTGACTCATACTGGAGGACATCGAAGTTTTGAGGAAAGTCAATTGTGCCATTGGACTTCCAGTCGAACGACGCGTGTATAGAGCACCCTGCAGAGCTAACGGCGAGATCGACGAGCTAACCGTAGTGGCTATGATTGTATCAATACCAATCCTTTCCAATTTCTCCACCAGACGTATCCCCGTGAGAGCTTTCTTCTCCGTGCGCGAGATCGTCGACTTCGGTCTTTTTTTCTTAGCTTGCACCGGCGCTGGAGGCTCGTAACTAAAAGTACGTCTCAATAATTCCGCCCCGGTGCTAAGCAGTCCCAATGTCAACGAGGCACCGCTCTCCGGTGGTGGGGACGATGACCTAGGTGACAGACTCGCATCAGGACTATTGCACGGTGTAGCAGTCGGCGAGAAATTCCGTTCGTCAGTAGGTGTGCCTATGCACGAGGGCGTGACGGCTTTGATTCCTCTTTCGTTCAGCATCTTGGCCAATCCAAGCGTGGTGGAGAATGTTGAAGTTGAATTGCGACGGCTGTGTGTGCGAGGAGTGCTCATACCGGAATTCATACCAGAATTCATACCACTGTTGGGCGCTGAGGCGACACGACTGCTAACGATGCTCGGTGTCACGCTGCTGATGGTATGATCATCCGGATGCATCACGGTGCTGTTAGTAAAGGTGTAAATGGAGCCGGTGTCTTGGAATGGTTTACCGGGATTAGTGTATTCCTCATCTTCCTCCAAATCGCTCAACGCGAATGTTATAAGACCGAGATCCTCGAGAGCGCGGCCACCTCTAGTCTTCACGCCTGGTCTGTCCTCCAGTAATCCACCTAATGTTGGCGTCGCCAGTCGCGACCAATGATGCAACGTCTGGGAGCCTTCCATTGGTTTGACTATCTGCAGTTTCTGTGGGATACGCCAAGCGTTGCCGCTGTTGCCGCTGAAGCCGCTCAGATTGCCGCTACTGCCGGTCGACATGATGCTGTCCGGAGTGCGACAGTCGAAAGGTAAGAAGGTTGGCGGGGAATGTAATATGCCACCGTCGTAATCGTAACTGTAGCCGGCACCTGTGCTGAGACACGCACGCCTCGCTAATACTTCCGCGGGTGTTAGACGACGTATAGCGGCTTCTAAATCAGCAGCACCAGGAGCACCAGGTACACCCATTCGTTGTGGTCCCCTGAAATATAGCAGAGTTTCACTTTCAGATCATATTGGAAAATCGATTTGTATTTTTTTCACGAAAAGAAAAATGGATACATACGGATAATCTTCCGTCTCGATGAGCAAGGATCCGTCATTACTTTGACCGGTAGAATCCAAACTGGGAAATGTAGATGCTTGCTGTCGCACTTGCCCACAACTCATCCGCGGGCCAACAGAACTGCTGGACAATGTCGACGTCGTCATGGAACCTATTCTAGGAAACTGATTGGGATCCATTCCCGCACACGTTGCACGAGATGCGCTACGAACGGTCTCAAACACTTTCTTGTAGGTTGGTCTACAAAATAAACGCAATACAAATTATTTTATTAACTGCTACGTAATTATTGAAACTATAATTCTTATGGTTTGAATATGCAAGAATATTTGATGAAAATTTCAAATCTAATAATAACATAAGTTATATTCAAATTTAATAATAATAGAGCATTAGACGCAGCTTCGTAACGTACATCCTGTCACCTGCACCGATCCCAGAATCAATACTTAATTCCGAGTAAAGGGACGATTCCAGTTCCGAAGCGATAGAATCCGGTTGAGGTGCTGCGCCCATCGATGGGAATAACGACCCACCACGTACAGTTGGCATTCCACGTTTTCTCTGTTTTCGCAACTGCTCTTGCGTTTCGGCTAGTAAGTTCACCACCTGAAGTATATAACATGCAGTGTCTCGATAGAGATGTATTTTTACAGAAAAAGATTTATACAAACGAGATAATAATTCAGATCTTAATGTATTAACCATCGAGTTATTTTTCTATATATATTACATGATTCTCACGAGACTTGAACGAAATAATTAATTACTCTATCGTTTCTCATGTTTGCAAAAAAATGTACCTCCGCATATCGTTCTTTGAATTCAGCTAGTTCAGCGGCAAGTGTATTTTGATTATCCCTAGTGATGACTAGAGTCGCTCCCACTTCGTCGTGCTCCGCCATCAGCTGAGCGAGTCTAAGCTCTGTCTCAGCTAATTTCGCAGTAAGACTAATTATTTGCTCATGCTGCAATCGATTCTCATCCTTTTGCCGACCGAGCTCCTCCGCTATCCCATCCACCTCCATGTTGGCGTTTGCTATTATTTGCCAGAAGTTATTTAACAATGCTACAGCCGTCTGATGATCATATGATCTCATTATCGATTAAAAAGTTATCTAATTTTGCCAATACAAATTGATTAAAGCATTATTTAATATAAAATATAAAATATGTATTACAAGCAGATACATTTTCATACAAAAACAAACAGATATAGATACGATAGTATACCTAATTGCGTCGCGATGTCTTGTACAAGACGTGCCTCCTGTTCCTCGGAATTGTCGGCATCATGCACTAGTTTCGCGAACTCGTTACGAAGCTGCTTATTCTCGTCTTCCAAACAGCTAACCTTTCTCTGCAACATGTCCAAATTAATGCCGCGCAGGCCGGTAGGAGTTCCGGCCTCCGAGCTAGACTCGTCCACATCGTTCGTCAATATCTGTATCAGCTCGGTCTTCTTCAACACCTCATGGTTCAACTGTGTGATCTTCTCGTTCGCTTCCTTAAGCTCAGCTTCTAAAGCGTTTACCGTAGTCTCAAGCTTCTGATTGTGTGCCAACAGTTCCTTGCCGATGCGCGCTGTCAGCTCCAAGTCTTTTTCTTTCTGTTAAAGAAAACCGTAGCCGTTTAATTTTCGTAGTTGTTATAGCTTTGAAGACCTCTCGTCTACAATTATTGCTAATCCATTGTCAAATTATCTTTAATAGTATTTCTTACATAAAATAATGTATTTTTATCAATATTTCTGAAAAGATAATGTTATCTAAAGAGAATTTCTAATAGTTCTCTTTAAATTGCTAAAACTTGAAGGTAATTCAGGAGTATGAGTAAGAATATATACAGAAATAAATTTTAAACAAATTTTTAATAACTTGAGAGAAGTTCTATATATTCTACGCGAGTGCTAATTATATAACTGTTTACAAGTCATTTAAACGGTCATCACTTATCAATTCGTTACGGCTTATCGATTTTGTTTCGGACGTCTCTTTAATATTTTTAGATACGGACATTTACGACTCGTAAAATTTTAACGACGCGATATGCACAGCGCGCGGGCTTAGTTTCTATTAGCTCTTGCTTCCCGGTCAGGCTTACCTCCTCCAGAAGCCTTGTGACTGCCTCTATGTCATTATAGGTCTTGGTCATTTGGCTCACCCGGTTGCTACATAAGACTGTAACAGAGTGATGAGTTCGTTATTAAACTGCTAAAGAATAAAAAGAAATATAGTTAAAAAAAGAAATACGAATACAGCACTATACAATGTGTGCAGAGAGGCCGGACCATTACATTTAAGCCCTGAAAATAATACAAGCAACGCTTTGATAGACTTCTTTTTAATAGCTTTTATCTTCTTATATGGACAAATATTACAGAATGTATGTTGTCGTTAGTACATTATCAATATAGTTGAATTTTTACACATATATTGCAGTCTTTCGATTCATGATTTGTATGATTAACCTGATATAATAATCCACTCTTATTTCTTTAATCTTGGTTTTTTTCTCATACATCTAAATCATTTTTATAACATTATATATTTTTGTAGTTTTATTCAATTTTTAATATTAGTTTCATACTCTCTCAAATGTGAACCACATAAAATCGATCGCATCGTATGTACGATGTAATTCTCTACAACTTATAGAGCACAAACAATCGATGTATGGGATGCAGTATCACGTTTCATTCGTTAAACAATATTTCGCGCACAATCCGTTTGCGATATCGATAACACTGATGCGCACGATGGTGATTGAGACCGATAAAATTTCAGCGAGTTCAGCTTTCGATATAATAGATACGCAGAATTTCTCATTCGCGATGCTATAACTGTGAGTGGAGTAAATGTCAATCTTTCTTTACTCGTAATGTCGAAAATTAAATTCGTCGAAATTATACCGGTTCGAATTCCTTTACTTCGAAATATAAAGTAGGACATTTTACCACAAATGAAAGCTTTGCTCCTTTCGGAAGCGAACTGAATAACAGAATGATTAGATCTTCACGCATGTATTACCGTCCCGCATATATTTTATTTTTGTATATAATCGATCTTCTATTATTTATAATCCCCCGCGCAACGATCTAAAAATGTGGGTAATTCTATGTCGGGCAAACGAAACGCAAATCCCAATCGAGTATTCACGCATTCTTCGACAAACTCATCGTTTAACTTCATTTAATTGGCAAGAAAAAGAATATATATAGTTATTTTGATCCATGTAGAAACGATATTTTGAGATTGCGGTGTCAACATGATTTATAAATAAAAACTTCAAGTTTCGGCGCAAATATTTTGGACCAAGAGCCACGTTAGTTCGCGTGCACGCTCCAAGCTTTATCTTTGTTTTCTTATTTGTCCGAGCACATGCGCCAGTTTCTATTGCCATGGTTATCTTAATTATATTTTATTTTGTTAATACTTCTTATAAAATCATCAATAAGTTTCCTTCAATATCAATACTATTTTGCAAAATATAATTTACTTAATTATGTTCAATGTTTCGACAATTTTTTGTTTGAATGACGTGGACTTGTAACGTGATCGGCTAATATTAAGGAATTTGTCTGCGATAACATGATGTATTTCTGATTACCTGAGGACATCAAGTTAAAGGATTCTGGCGCGTATTTCATGCATTCGAAACAACCACGATCTCGCAATGTGAGTACGCTAAAAGTACGCGCGAGCATTGCTTCGAAAGAGCAACGTGGGGGCTTTAAACCTTCAAGACTTGGCCGGGTCCACTTCATGGAAATCGTTAGTCTTCATAAACAGCTTCGTTGCGTTCTTGATCTTCATCACGAATTCCCGAAGAGATTCTAACTGTACGCGCTTTTAATGCACTCGACATTTTCACGACGTTACACCTGCAACTTCTCCAGATCAACTGGGCTAAAAATCTCTCCGTAAAATTTACGCTGCTCGTCGAGAGTTTTCACGAGAAAGAAATGAAAAAACGAAGTCGAACGATAAGCAACAGATGCAGCGATATTCAGCAGCTGATCGCTCGTTCCGCGCACGGGACGGGCTGCATCGTGGAAAATCGCGGGAGTATCGCGTGTCTCACGATCGGAGGGTGATCCGACTCTAATGAGAGCGGCGAGAAAACGTGGCACGCGAACGAGGGAAACACGAAAGCGTGGAGAGACGGAATGAGATGCTCGCGTTGCACGAAAGAGACTCTTGCATCCCTTCTATCGATCGGCTTTGGCGCATCCCGCGCCAGGTGGACCGGCCGGCCGTCGGAAAGCGCAGACGCCGCGTCCACGTCCAAGGTCGCGCCTTCCAAAAAGCTCTACAGCGTCCGAAACGGGGAAAGGGATGAGGAACAGATTAAGGTGTAATATATTATCAATTTGTGCGTCGTAAACGGATTCGAAATAGGGAAGAGTGTGCGAAGAGTAAGGGTACCTGAAAGTACTCGAGAATCGAAAGGGATTCACTTCAACCTTCGGTTCATCCGACAAAAAATGGATGCTTCGCTCATATATTCTAATATGATATGATTTCGCGTTTCGACAAGCCTCACATTTTTGATAGTTTAAAAATCTCTGCAAGATTAAATCTAAATGTATAAATTTAAAATGTCTGTATGTTTCCTACGCTCAGAGAAATGGACAGTTCGTTCAAAGATTAACAAAATGGATCAATTATCAATGATATCCGGCTATCATTGATTGGACATTATTCTAATCTTGATCGGCTAGTATTAACTCCTAAACCCTTTGACCGATCTAGACCAAATTTTGCATAATTACTCTCTAGACCCTTGCGGAAAATACCGCAGGCTACCGTGAAACTTAGACACCCCATCCCTTTCCCCTGATTTCATCTCCTTGACACTTTGTGATGATAATCCTGTGGGCAACGTCGAGTAGTTTAAAGTTTATATAAAGCTAAACAGCTACTAATTCTGAGCTGTTCGTTTTTTTTTATCTCCATATAATGAGAGCTAGTTGAAGAAATAGCTCATTAAACTCTTAAAACAAGTTTTGGAAGCTCAGGCAGGTGCACCGGACTAAACGACTGGGAAAAGAAACATCGAAACTTATATGCATTCATTTTTCTAGGACTATTTAATTGGGAATTAAATCTGTTATTATTTTGTAGGTTCCGATGTATCGTAAATTATATCGATTAACTTCATTTTGTAGCGATAAAGGCAAGATATACACAGTACTGTGTATATTTTTCATACTTTTACCTTTTATTTAAAGAAACCTATGTCGCAGCTTAAAATACTAAATGTTTGTAAAAGTGAAATAAGACGACATAGCGGAATAGATTTGAGATCATATACCTCGACAAGAGGCAGATGCTTCACGGGTGTCTTCATCACGTAATTGGTTCATGAGCGATCTTTTTTTTTTCTATTGAAAAGGGACGCCTGTTTATACCGTAATAATACTGAAGAAGCGAGACTAAACGTAATGGGCCACTTTCAATTCCAACGAGAGGCGCTTCGATGCCCACCACTGCATCCCGAACGGACTCATCGTCGTCGTCCTCACGACGACGACGCGGTGTCTACTGTCTTCATGAGCGAATTACGTTAACAGACACCTTCACGGCCAATTGACCGCGATGATCGATGAGCGAATTTGCAGAAAGTGCTACGGATTCCTCGACACGCGAGGCGAAAGATTTCCCTGCCGATCGAAGCACGATGCTGAAAGGAACTAAATCGACACCGGGGGTATCGATGTCGTAGTTCTCTCTGTTTATGTGAGAACATATAAAATGAAAACCTCTGTTTGGAATTTTTTAAGTTCACCAAAAACTTGAGAGCTTCAACGTTAACTTGTTAATCTCGCACGAGATATTCGAGGGAAAATTTTTATCACAGAATATTTTTTCAAGTAAAATCTTAATTTTTTAAAATTCTTTTTGCATATAGACTGTACGATTTGGAACACACACTTTAATTTTTTACTTGAGCTTTGACTTTTCTTCTTAGGTGTTTCCTTCGCATGTACTCCTTTGATAGCGAACCAGTTCCGTAAAGAGGTGAGATCGAGAAAATTTATGAAATCGCGTTTGCGACCTCGTAATATTTTTATCGTAAGATAAAATACAGTTCGCAGCGCGTTTTCGACATCTTTTTATAATTCGCTTTATGTGAAACAGTGCGATTAAAAACCACGGACCGTGCAGTTAAAATATCGCTCTAACTATCGGAAGGCTACGGTATTGTATCCTTCACGAGAGATACGGTTGAACGCAACCAGTATTTCGTTCAATTTAAATCGAAAATACAGAGCGTGTCCCAAAACTAGACTGTAAACTGATAGAAAGTCATTGTAGAATAAACCCTTTTATACGCTTCATTTTCCCCCAAAAAATAAGTCATACAGACACTTTGTATAATTCAATATATTTTAACTAACATATTTTAATAATTATAAATATATTTTCTCTGTTGCATAATTTTACCGTGTTTCGCTGTAAGATACTGTGTATTTATCGTAAATTAAATTATTCTTTAATCGACACATTCCTCGTACAATCTACACTTCTTGGATAATTTACTATATTTACGTTACGTATACTGAGCAGGAGATTAATTAATCAAACAACATGTATTGACCACTCCCCAAAGGTAATATTATTTGAAAATAAGACGCACTTGATCTTGATTAAGATACGCTTATTTTAATCGAGCAAAAATTCTTGCAGATAATAACAAAGATTTTATGTACTTATCAAAGATATACCAAATATCGGATTACAACCTGAATTTATATCATATGATACCAGTTATTCCGCACAGGACGAGATTTAAAACCGGTCTTGACTCTTTTTTTTATATTCATAAAAGGGCGACGCAAACTCGTCGACCTGGGACGATTGGAATGCAGATAAACCTTCCCTGCCGGAAAATCATGAAGAGACACGCAAATAACGTCCTGTGTGCGTTAATTCATTCGCGTCATATAAAAGGAAAATTGATTCTTTCCGGAAATTTTCATTTATTACCCAATACTTTTGCAGAAAAAAATACGGTATTAAACTAATAAAAAAATATATATATAAAATTTAATAATTTTGCAAAACACTGATAATATTCTTTTTAAATACTGTTATCGATATTTTTGTGATAACACTGTAATTAAAAAAAAATTTACAAAGTCGTATCTTTTCAAACAAGTCGATAGCACGTGCAT